TGAGTGACTGAAAGGGAACTTGAAGGTGTTTGCTTGCTTCTCTGATTGGCCCCTAATGAATGAACTGGGCTAAATTAAGAGCGATCAAAGTTTCTCGCACGCCAGAGCGATTGAGTGCACGCACTGAGACGAGAAAGGTATGCATCAACTCATCTTATTTAAGGGAATAAAATAGTTTAATATGAAAAAACGGTGGAGTATCCCTTTAAAAGTCAACCTATAGTTTTTTAATATTTCTAGCTTTACTTTACAATAAGGTCGCATTTATTAACATTAGTTAATGCATTATGATCATGCTGCATGAACTTTCAATTAATATACAATATTTACATTATATTATATATTTTAATAAATAGCTCTTTAAAAATGCAACGGTTCATTTTGTTTCATGTTCATTCACATTTAATTATCTAATTTTAACAGATAGACAGTTAAAATAAATATTAAGATTAATAAATGCTGTGTCAATCTGTCATGATTCCTGTCTTGTGTTCCCCTTGTCTTGTGTGGGCTTTTGTTATTTCCTGTCCTGTGCCATGTTTTGTAGTTGTCACGGGGTAATCCAAGGAAGACGAGGAGGAAGGTACAATAAACATATAACTTTTAATCGAGGAATCTCAGGAACAGGCAGACGGGTTGACAGCGTGTGATACACAAACAATACCGGACAAGGGAGTGAAGACAGGCAGGAACTTAAATACACAGTGGCGGTGATAACAGATGACAATCAGCTGTGCGGGAGGTGATTAGTGTCCATGGAAACAGATGAGGGCGGAGAACTCAGACGAGGGGAGCACGTGGTGAATCAAAACACAGTCCATGGGTGGTGACAGATCGCCCCCCTCCGGCAAGGCGCGACCTCGCGCCGTGGCAAAATGACGGAGGGGGGACCGGGGGAGGTTCAGGTGGAGGACGAGACGAAGGTGTAACACAGACGAGAGGCTGGAGTGACGGGACGGTGAGGGGACGATGACGATACCCTGGTGGCCTCGATGGGGATGGCGCGGTGGCACAGACCCAGAGCCTCCCAGTACCGACAGCCGATGGCAGGGATGACGGAGGGAAGAAACCAGATGGCGAGGGGACTGACGGTAGCTGGGGGATGACCGACAGAGACTCGGTGGCAGGATCTCTCGGCGCAGACAGAGAGCCGGTGGACTCCAGCGACGTCATCGGCATAGGAGACCCCGGTGACGTACCGGCGACGAGCGCTGGAGCCGTAGCCAGAGTGCCCGAGAGCTGAGGTGGAGGTGGAGTGAGGGAGGACAGAGGAGACGCCACAGGGAAGGAGGAGCCCGCTGAAGCCGAAGGGGTGGAGGGAACAAGCGTAGCAGACTGACCGCAAGTCCGTGGCGCAGGCAGAGTGACGACTGACCAAGGGGGAGCCGGCAGGACGAGGGAACCCGCTGCAGCCGATGTCTCGATGGTCTCAGGCGGAGGCGCAGGTGGGAGGAGCCGAGACGGAGCTGGCAGGTCGACTGGCCGAGATGGAGTGTCGAGGACCGAGGCTGGAGGCGAAGCCGTGGGATCCTCGAACACAGGCGCTGCGGATGGTGGGCTGACCTGCCGCTCGACGTCGGGGACTCCCCACGGAGATGGTGCAGGGCTGCGCACATCCAGCAGCGGCGAGGCTGGAGGACTGACTGGGAACGGAGATGGAACAGCGTGAACCAGACAGACAGCAGGGCAGAAGTCATCACAGGATGATTCAAAATATGAAAGAGATGCAGATGACGGGTGGGATAGGGCGGGAACGATCTCCAGTGTCCTGGGTTTCCTCAGCCAGTCCTCCAGTTCCGGGAAATTAGTCCCCTCGTCCGCAGATGTCGTGGGCTCACACCCCTGGTCAGACTCCTGTTGGAGCTCCTCCTCCGGGGCGAGGGTCAACTCTGTCCTCTTCGTCTCGGGCACTGGTTGACGCGTCGCGGCGGGTGGTAGCTCTCCGTCTGCGGGGGGCACGCACGAGATCTCCGCGGTCGAGGGTGGTGATTCCGGCTCTGGGTCTGGCAGTGTCCTGGATCGGGCTTCGACGCTCTCCAGACACCGGGAAACGGCCTCCTTCCAGTCCAGGTCAGAGGTGTCTGGGAGGTCGAAGTGCTGGTGGTAGGTGGCCCCGATCCAGAACAGGGTCTTCAGGGTTTCGTCATCTAGGGGGCTGGAGAGTGCAAGTGAAATAAAGTCTCTTGAAAATGAAACAAAGTCCAGTGATGCTTCCGCTAGGGAGATGAAATCAATGTTCATCTTGAAGTTTGGTCCGGTATTCTGTCACGGGGTAATCCAAGGAAGACGAGGAGGAAGGTACAATAAACATATAACTTTTAATCGAGGAATCTCAGGAACAGGCAGACGGGTTGACAGCGTGTGATACACAAACAATACCGGACAAGGGAGTGAAGACAGGCAGGAACTTAAATACACAGTGGCGGTGATAACAGATGACAATCAGCTGTGCGGGAGGTGATTAGTGTCCATGGAAACAGATGAGGGCGGAGAACTCAGACGAGGGGAGCACGTGGTGAATCAAAACACAGTCCATGGGTGGTGACAGTAGTCCCTTGTAGTTTTTCTTGTTGATTAGATTGTTCCCAGGTGTGTCTTGTTAGCCAATCTTCCCTTGAGTTTACAAATACCCAAGTGTTTCTAATGTTCTTTTTCTTGTGTCCTTCTATGGATATTAAGTGTGTGCTTGTTGTCAGTTTTTTTTGCCCTCCTTGCCCGTGTCTGCATTTATCAGTTTTGCCTGGATTTACTTTTATTATGCTTGTTTGAATAAATGTTTGCTGCATCTGGATCCCACTCTAGTCCCTCTGAAACAGCCACCATAGGGGATTATCACGCTTCCGGGTTTCATGGGCGGGATTTGTCAACTTTGTGCATGTCCACTTCCGACGCAGTTCAACAATGGCTGAGACGAAGGCTATATATGTCACTGCTCTGTTCCACTTTGTAAATCTAACCAACAACGCCAACCCTATGTAAGTTTTCATGGATTCCCGACTGAATTGAGTATAAGGAAGAACTGGATTAAAACTTTAAAATAAAATAAGGTAACAAGTTTGTTTGCAGCCGGCACTTTAATTTACCAGGGATGCCTTATAAAAAAACTTAGTGTAGTCCGTCATCAGTTCGCCAGCGAGATCGTAATTCAACGGAAGTGGCAGTGCACAAAGATCACTGAATCCGGAAGTCCTACGTATCAGCATGATAATCCCCTATTACGCATTCATTATTAGTTCATGTTAACAAATAAAATGTAAGTGTTCCTTATATTTATCACTCAGCATTAAGAAGTTCGTTTGGATGAATAATTTTGTTGAATGTATTACTTTTCTTTTGAGTATTTCATTCCACTTTTGATAATTGTGTAAATTAAGTTTCATCTTGTTTGTTCACATCTTCCTGCTCCTTAAAAATATTTTATGCCCATTACATGAAGTGAATACTGAATAGCATCATGGTTTTGAAGCAGAAACGCCAATACGCTGCTGCAGCTTTCACATGCTGCAAATGCAAGTAGTGTTGAAACCGACTAAAAACTTAAGGCAGATTTAAACCAGTTAACATGAGACATTTAGGAGTGCTTTTCTTCCAAAACGAGATTTTCAAGGAACAGCACAGATAAATTCAGGAGTCTGTCATGGTAAAACAGCTCAGACTGTCAGAAGTTTTTGACTGGTAAAAGGATGTTTCCTGCGCATTAAAACATTGTCTTCTCCCTGTGGGAAAGCCCAGGTTTGGATTTTTGAGTCCGAGATGTTGGCGTGCCGCCATTCCTGGCAGTCTCCGCTCTGGGAGCTGCTTTCAGTGCGGAAAAAGCCCAGGAGGGCATATCGCTGGCAGAGGGAAAGGAGCAGAGCAGATTCTTGTTAGGCACACTCCTCTCTGACACTGTTCCTCTACCTCCAGGGAGGCCCGTATCAATCCCATCATGCTATGGCCCTGCTCTCTGAGGCGTGACCAGGTGCTGCTGACATTCGGCAGGATGAAACCTCGCCGTGGAATACTAATCATGTTCTCCACACACACTTTATGGCCTTTTGCCATCTTTCATTCTCTAATTCATTTTGGTGAGAAAGTATTTTCCAGTACGATAAAGAATAAATGTAATTTTTAAAGCACTGGATTTCAAGTGGGACATTGCAGAACATCTTTTGAATGCTGTAATATTGTGTTTTTTTTCTCACAGACAGATATTTTTTTCTTGTTTTAAACAAAAATTCACTTAATTTTGAGGCTTTTTTCCCCCAAAAAACAAAAGACTTACTGACTGGTAATATCTTAAATCATTATACCTGTACGTCTCAAGTAAATGTATCTTGCTTTAAAGTGCCCTTATTTTGCTATTTTAAAGGTTCCTGACGTTGTTTTGGGGGTCTCCTACAACAAGTTTATGTGAATCCGAGGTCAAAAAAGCACTTTCCTTTTCTCATAATACACATTTAATATCACTTCTCAAAGAGTCTGAAATGATTCATTCCATGCAGTTCGAAGATTGAAGGTATGTTCGACATCGCCTGCGGCTGGATGCAACCGATCGGCGAGAACAGCCGCGTGCAGGCGGGGAGGAGCTGCAAACGGAGACGTGAAGTCGGACAATTTCTGGTTCCCGTAGTGACGGCTCATGTCGGTTTGCATGGTTATACCACAGCTGAAGTGAAATAAATGCAACATTTGCCAAATAAACAGATATTTCAGACTCATTTTCATTCTTCATACAGCATCTGTTTGAACTAGAATAAAGTTCAAAATAAGCCTATAATCAATGAAGTGGAGTCAACGTTTTTTAATCAGTTTTATTTTGATAAACATGACACAATATAACATTGCGACTACATGAAAAGAGTGTTTACTGTTATAAAATACTGATTTGTGAGCTTTAGTGGAACTAAACGTGTGAGAATAAACACGAAACGCACGTGATCGTTGTCATGCGGTGAATCCGGCGAATCGTGGAACAGCTGTGACATCATCAGAGCTCGTGCAGCCGCTCTTGAGTAGCTGCGCTGGCTGAGTCCTCCGGCTTCTCTCGTAGCGCTCTCGCGGTACTTTGATGGCATACAAATCAGGTATTCTAATCAGGTAAAGCAAGTAATATTCTCTGTCTTTATATATATATATATATATACAGTATATATATATATGTGTGTGTGTGTGTGTGTGTGTGTTTGTATGTATATATATTTTGCAGAGCCCTCACTGATGCAAGCTCTTCTCTTCGACAGTAAAAGCGGGGGTTAAGTTTTTGCACGTCGTGCAGAATAACCCTCTCTCTCTCTATATATATATATATATACTTAAAAAACGGGGTTAAGTTTTTGCACGTCGTGCAGAATAACCCTAAAGGCACCAGCCGGTGGCGATGCCACTTTTGCAAATTTCTTCACAATATTTTCTACAACTGCTTGCAGAGACAATCTAATGCATACAGGATGTCTTTATTTTGTCTGAATATAAAGTGACATGGTCAGTGCTAAATAGGCTGTTCTGATAGTGACTGGCTGAGAGTGTGTTTCACCATTACACAGATGTTCTAGACCTGGATGAGATGAGAAACCCTTCTTTGTAAAGAGACATGGACAAACCAGATGAGTGGATGTAGTCGATTAGAGAAGGCTGACTGGGCTGGACATTTGATTATGGTTGAGTGGTGGTGGAATTGCACTGACCATCCTGAACTGAGACAGGGCTGCGGAGAAGTTTAGAAGAAGATAAGAGAACAGAGTGACACGCAGGATCAATAACAGGTGAGATAAACTTATATATTTTATTTTTCATTCCCCCTTCTCTGATTTGTCCTGGCATCAATGCACCCTATTGTTTTGGCATCTTTAAGTGAGAACCAGAAATATAAAATTTAATTTGATGTTAATTCATTATTTTGATTATTTTATTCCAGGGATGCAAAACTGAATTTTCAGCATCATTACTCCAGTCTTGAGTGTCAAATGATCCTTCAGAAATCTTTTTGCTGCTCAAGAAACATTCCTTTTAATTATAAGTGTTAAAAAAAACAGTTGTGCTGCTTCATACTTTTGTGCTTTTTTGGAATGTTAAACTTGCAAGTTGATCACTAAATAAGATGTAACCCTGGGAAATCTACTGGCATAAATAAAGTTATTTAAGGTTTACAGAAATTAAAACAAGGTCAAAATTATGGTTTAAATGCAAACTGATGATGTTTTAAAAGTTTAATGAATTGGACTTAATTAATAGATAAAACTTAATTAGTAATTAACCATTTAGTTTTGTAAATAGTTATTATGTGTCACTGTATTGAATAAAGTCCACTGGAGGCAAGCTGGTTGAGAACCCAAATGCAACTTTACTTCAAAACATAATCAAACATAAAACAAAGGCATGGCAAGCAATGAAACCGAAACAAGAACAACAGAAAACTTGGAAACTTAAAACAAAACAAGAACCTGGACAAGAAACATTCAATACTAGACAAAGACACAGGGCAAACATGAGGGCTTAAATACACAGACTAATTACAAGACAAGGAACACCTGTGAACAATATCAGACAATTAACAAATGACAAGACACAAGGCAGGACCACATGACAATCAGGGAATTACATGACAGACAAGAACAAGGAACAAGACACAAAACTCACAACTGCCCCTTTTCCACCAAAGCATTTTGAGAGCCGGTTCAGAGCCAGTGCCTACTGGAGAACCAGTTCTTTGAGTTTCGACAGCCACATTTGAAAATTGGTTCCAAAGCGGCACCAACTCTTTGCTGGACTAGAACCAGAGAACCGTTGTTTTACCACGTCACCCTTATGTCGCGCAATTCACCTTTGGCTAAGCCCCGCCTCCCTTAGTTACTGTTGCTACATCCATCAAACTTCATCTGCGCTCTGCATTGCTTATGCTGTAACAGCTCTTCCCGCTGAAATGTTATCAAACTTTTATAAAGCAGCAAATAAAGTGTCCGATAGAAGTAGGCAAAAGGGGCTGCAATATGCGTTCGAAGGGTATATTCAAGAAATACAGGTGAAACGCAATCAACAACAAGGCATCCAAAATAGAGGAAAAAGCATAACGTTAACGTTACCGGTCACAGTCAAAAAATTAACCACCGCATTTCCTACTAATCGAGATGGAGGCTGGGACTAACAATATCAGGGAGCAACACTGTTCATGCAAAGCTGGGTTGGTCTCTATTCACTTCTATAATCGTTATTACAAAGCAAACGGACTACACAAGTATAACGTTGTATTTATTAGCAGCGTGTGCTAGTGTATCAACAACCGGTATGAGAACCGAAATCATAACCTAAAACATTATAAAATGGTCTAACTAGTATAACTTCACACTCACAGCAAGGTTAGAAGTAAAAAAAGATGTGCTTGTTGATCTTTGCTTGGTTTAGCTGACTGAGGACATCCATACAGTTTAATCCAAACACGACACTTGTCACTGTCAGGATTTTACTTCGGTTTTGGGAAGGGAAAAAATGGACACCCCCCTACAACCTCTCTGGGAAACGCGTATCTGTGTTACCATTGCCCGAGGCACAACGTTTAACCATATTTTGGATAAAACTACTGTACGACGGTAATAGCCTGCCGAGACCAAAAATATGAGACTCCTACATACACACACACACACACACTATTATTTATATATATATATATATATATATATAATAGTGTGTGTGTGTGTGTGTGTGTGTGTGTGTATGTATATATATATATATATATACTAGGGGTGGGAATCTCTAGGCACCTCACGATTCGATTACGATTCAGAGGGCTTGCGATTCGATGCGATTATCTGAATCTTTTTTTATGTGTGTGTGTGACTATAAATACTTTGCTTTAAAAGTAAAAAGTAATGACCCATGAAGAATTAATATAAAATGTATTTTATTAAAATTGCAAAGAACCAACAGGAAAATAAATGTGTGCTTATATATGAAGAGTTCAGATGCAAAAGCCTCTAAATGCCATTTGAAATTTTCTTCTTTAATGATGATTTTTATTAAACTTGTATATTTAAGTTCAGTAATTTCACTTAAATAACAATTAATAGGTAATTATCATTGCCATTTAAGTGAAATTACTGAACTTAAATATACAAGCTTGATAAAAATTATCATTAAAGAAGAAAATTTCAAATGGCATTTAGAGGCTTTTGCATCTGAACTCATCATATATAACAACGACCAGTACAGCCAAGTGTTTTTCCTCCTCTGGCTGGAAACGTGTCATATGGCTTCTCATATTTGTTGTGTTTCCAAAATATTTTACTTTTATTCTACAAAGCTTACAACTAGTGTGGCTCTTGTCCAGCTCCTTTCCAGCTTTCTTTCTTCTGTTGAAAATAAAAGTTATTTTGAATAATGTGTTAACCGAACAGTTGCTGGTCCCCAGTGTAGGCCTATAGTTTTTTTTTCTCTCTCCTGGAAGTTGATTGGGACCAGCAACTAACCACATTCAAAAAAGAAAATCTTCTTTTGTGTTCAGCACAAGAAAGAAATTAATACAGGTTTGGAACAACATTAGAATGAGTAAATAATGATTTTTTGTTGTTGTTGTGAACTATCCCTTTAAGAACGAGCGGCATGTAGTATTTACTCCTGTCGCTTTTAGACCAGCACGCGACGTGTTTAATATAGACGCATATTACACCATATTTTTTCTCAAATGTTTGCTTTCACTTTAGACATAGCCAATTCTGTTAATGTAAACATTGTGTGTATTTAACAGTATTAGCATAATAAGACATGAAAAATAACTTAGTCCAGTATTCAGGAGCTGTTTGACAGGCTTCTGGTGCCTGTGAGCGTCGGGGGTATGCTCTCAGGAAAGCGCACGTTAGAACAGCGCATCAGCACGTGAATTAAATGTTTAACTGGCAAGGCTTATGCAAATAATGAACTTTAATGAATTGCCGTGTCTCATACCTATTCATTAACGTGTGATGTGTAGGCTATGTCGCGTTGTACAGTTGAGACAGAGGCGACTGAACTGATAGAATGCACTGTAACACGATACTATGATATTTCTTCAAAAGCAGATCGTAGAGACATTTGAATCGTCCACGGTCAAAAATCATGATATCACACACCCCTTCACACGTCAGCTTTTAATGAGGAGGGTGTATGGATTCGGCGCTCAGTCATCACGTCTGCATCTCTGTTATGTTCACGCCACAGACGGTCCGGCCATTACACTTCCACACTTCAGAGTTCCGTCTTTCGCGTTCCGTCAATATTATGTTATTATAAATATATATATAAAAAAAAACTCTTTTTTTTTTAAATCGATTTTTGACATTTGTGAATCGATTCAGAATCGTCCACATCCGCATCGCGATGCATCTAAGAATTGATTTTTCCCCCCACCCCTAATATACACACATACTATTATTTAAATGAGCAAAATTAATGAGATGTGCTCCAGTTCACGTGCAATGCAATCGCGCCCGCACCTCCATATCATGATCATATTGTCTTCTATATTTGCTTCTTATTTATTACATCAAGGGAATAGGTTGATGAAAAATTGATTAAAATTAAGATACAATGTATACAAAACAAAATTCACTTTAAAGAAAGGCTTTCTACAAAACAAAACTTAATTTAGTGCTCAAAATCATGTCTTCACCAATCAAATCTTCCGATACATTGCGCATCTTACTTATGCTGTTCATGCTCATCAGCCTAGTTGTAAAAAAAAACAAAAAAAATCATTATAATATTTTAACAAAAATGAAACTAAATGCGCTTGTTTAATGGCTACACATATATTGGGCCTATACAGACTAAATATTGAAATTAACATTAAAGGTTGCCTATCTGTGTGAGATTTACTCCCATCTAGCAGTAAAATTGTATTTGCATTCAAACTAATTGTGCTCTCCAGGGCCTCGCTTTTTAAAATGCGTGTTGCATCTACGGTAGCAATTATGTACCAAAAAGCTATGACAGGATGTCTTCTAATAGCATTTCGTCGAGTTTTCCTTTAGGTGAACAGGTTTGTAATTTCAAACAAACTGCAACTTGACACAGCAAACAAAAAAAATGTTACAGTATGAATTACTTACTGAAAAACATGAACTATTGTAATTAGTATTTTTGCTTTCTTTATGCGTCACATTAGTCACACAGAAATAAATTAGCGTAGGTTTCACAAAAGAAAAAGGACACACTTCTTCATTCGTATCTGTTTCTGTTTATTTGGTAACTTAGTTACAGGACTTCTTTATAAATGTGATATAAATATCCCCTGTAACTAAGATTGTGATTGCCTTTATGATTGGTCTGATTTCTTCAAACATTCACTATGTATTTTTTTTACTACGTGCAAACAATGCAAGAACAGTCATATGCTCTATTAAAATATAATGTTATCGAATTTCTAGGTTACAGAAAGTCAACTAACAAACATTGTTTTTAGCACCTTCTCTACTTGTACTTTACTCAATAGCTGCTAACATTATTCATCAAATAGTCTGTTTAGCCTTTCACTATAAATGTTCTACTGTCTATATTATAAAATGCACAACCAAGCAAAGAAAAAATGCTTGTAATTAAGACTCTGACATTGACTTGCCATTCAAGGAGAGAGCAGGATTTCAGCGTCTCTTTAGAAATCTTTCTCCTTCATTAGCTTTTTCCACATATCCTGACATTTACTCTTGTTTTTTTGTACTCTGTGCAGCCCACACACACCATATTCATAATGGCCAGTGCTGTAATCACGGAGGCCTCAGGCGTGCTGGCGACCTCCGGAGACATAAGCACGGCTGACCTGGTGTGAACAGTCTCGTAAATAGTCTCTGGCGCAGCAGACGTGACGTGAACAGGATCAGGCTGGGCAGGCAGGCGTGACATGAACAGTCTCTGGCGCGGCAGGCGTGATGTGAACAGTCTCTGGGGCGGCAGGACCGTCCTGAAGAGGCTCAGGCTGGGCAGACCTGAGGTGAAGAGTCTCTGGCGTGGCAGGCGTGACGTGAACAGTCTCTGGCGCGGCAGGACCAACGTGAAGAGGCTCAGGCTGGGCAGACCTGATGTGATGAGTCTCTGGGACGGCAGGCATGACATGAACAGTCTCTGGTGCGGCAGGCGTGACGTGAACAGTCTCTGGTGCGGCAGGCGTGACATGAACAGTCTGTGGTGCGGCAGGATCGACGTGAAGAGGCTCAGTTTGGGCAGACCTGAGGTGAAGAGGCTCAGGCACGGCAGGCGTGACGTGAACAGTCTTTGGCGCAGCAGATGTGATGTGAAGAAGCTCAGGCTGAGGGGATATAGTGAGCTTGTGGGACCCCTCATTAACAAAGCCCACAGTAAAGGACGAGCCGCTTATCCGAAAGGCAAGGTCAATATATTGCATTAAAGTATACTGAGGGGTGTTGTCAGCAGGGTGCAACTATGGGGGAAATAGGGGGAGCTCAGCTCCCCTTAATAAGACATGGACACCCTTGAAAACATGATTGTTTGGATGGAGTTTGTATGGAGTAACGGAGCTCCTGCGGGAGCGGAGTAAACGACACTGCTGCGGCAGTGGGCCAGACTTCCTATAATTAATGGAACTCCTGCGGAAGCGGAGTAGATGACACTGCTGCGGCAGTGGAGCAAGTTAGCACAGAGTAGCGGAGCTCCTACGGGAACGGAGTACATGACACTGCTGCGGCAGAGGGCCAGACTTGCTTGAATTAATGGAGCTGCTGTGGGAGCAGAATAGATGACACTGCTGCAACAGTGGAGCAAGTTAGCATGGAGTAACGGAGCTCCTGCGGGAGCGGAGTACATGACACTGCTGCAGCAGTGGAGCAAGTTTGGATGGAGTAACAGAGCTCCTGTGGGAGCAGAGTAAAAGACGCTGCTGCGACAGTAGATGAACTTGCTTTTGACTTGCTTTCCTGGGATCCTATTGTGAGTTGGGAGGAAGTTAGCTGAGGAGGTTTTATTGAGCTTCTTTGGTATGGAAGTGGTTTGAACTGATGTAACACTTAAAGGCCTGCGACGAACCAGCGGCCAAGCTCTTGGATGCCTGATTGAAGCAAGGTGGACTTGAGATGTTTTTGGAACCAGAATCGTGTGACGGGGCGATTGAAGTTGTCGGTGAAGAGTGAGTCGGAAGGGGACTTGGTCTGCGAGTTTCTGAATTGTGAGTACGCTAAGAGAGTTTGGTATGGTTGGATTGGTGATTAGAGATTGAAGATGTATATGAAATGGCATTTTTCATTTGATTTGTCTTGCTTTGTTTGATGAAGTAAGAGATGGTTTCATTGTCTAGTAATGAAAGATTTGTGATTGTGGGGGGCACTTTTGGGTTGAAGTTTGAAGTGATGGTGAGTTGGTGAGCATCTGAGGAAACCGAAGAAAGCCAATATGAACATAGCGTCCAGTGCGCAGGCAGTGTTGGTGTAGTAGTAGCCTCGGCGGAGGGTGGAGATGTCTTTGGTGAGTATATCCAAAGTTATTGGTTGTCTGGCATCTGAGCAGGTGGGTTGGGTTTTTTGGATGCCTTTGATGAGCATTGATGTCTGGGAATTTGCGATGTCTGCGGAGGGTGAACCAAAAAGTTTTAGATAGATTTCCGCTTAGATAGCACTTGATAAAGCGGGCTTTGAGGTTCTTGATGCTGTCGAGATAGGATATAAATGAAGTGAAGGTGAGCAGAGAAAAATTGGGAAAAGTCAGGTTGTATGTGAAGTGGAAAGACTTAACACACTTCCATGCGTTTAAATAGGAATCCAACTGGATGGGCCATGTAGACGCAAACAAACGGCTTTGGTAGAATCCTCCGAAACCAACAGAGGGAGCTGCATCTGTGAACAGTTGGATATATTCACGGGGAGAGAAATCAGATTATTATAGAAAAAGGACAGGCCGTTCCATTATTTAAGGAATGTTATCCATAAACTGAGCTCGTGACATGAAGTAGCCATGGAAGTTCCCAGGAATTTGATAGATGTGGCTGGACCCATGGTCTTTTTCTTGGGCGATTGGAATCCAGAGCTCGTTGAAGACTTTTTGGACTGTGATATGATCTGCGGCTGGGACGGTGTCGGGCGGTGAGATGATTAGGAAATTATCTAGCAGGTGGATTAGGTAGGGTATCGAGTAGTTATTGGAGAGAATCCAACAAATAGCCTCTAATAGCATGTCAATAATTTTGGGGCTACTTTTGCAGCCAAAAGTTAAATGGACGGCAAAATAAAATTTCTCTTGCCATTGTACACTGAACAAATACCAAGAATCTGGGTGAATGGGCCTCACTTTAAAAGCAGAGGTGTTATCAACTTTAGCGAACCAAGCGCTGTAACCTGCGGCTTTAACCAAGGTTATGGTTTGATCAATGGTGTGGTTATGAAGAGAAAATTGTTCAAGCGAGATAAGGCTGTTTATGCTTTATGCTGAAAGATCGATTATAAGGCGTTTTTTGCCTGAAAATTTTCTAGTGGCCACTCCAATTGGGCTGATACGGAAACATTCGAAGGGAGGAATGTTAAAAGGACCAATCATAAAGCCCGATTCGATTTCTTTTTTAATAAAGGTGTCGACTGTGTCAGGTTCAGCGAAAGCAGACTGGAGATTGTTGCATATGATACTTTGAGTGGGAAGGCTTTTTAAAGCCGTGCTCGAGACCAGACAGTAAATAGTCCTTAATTTTGGTATTAGGGTGGTGAGATAATTCAGAAGACAGACGAGAAAAATTCAAAGGAGTCAACAAGTAGTTTTTTAATCTTTATTTACAGACCTTTTTACAGGGCATAGTGTGAGCGTGCGCGCCGCCACAGTACAGTTCACTGCCGTTCAGTTCTCGTCTTCTGTGGGGAAGTGCGGCGCAAATTATTTCGCTATACCGGCTGAAAGCAATTGCGAATTCAGAAAATGACAGAATGTGGGATGAATTATGAACTGGGTTTTTTAAAGTGACTGCAAAATCGCTGCAGTCGATTTGCCGATTTAAAACAGAGGAAGGGAGGATAGATAGAAGGGAGGATAAATCAATGACCGCAACTGTGAGTATCTGTGCTCTGATGTTGCTGGTCACAGGGGGCGGTTCCATAGCTGTGGACTTTGGTGGGATGGGCATCGGCGTTGCGGAAAACAGAGTGGAAGGAGAATGATTTAAGGGAAGGCTGTTAGGAGGAAAAAAGCCCGGGGCCAAAACCATTTGTGGAAGGAACCTCACACTTGGGTCACCCCTAAAGCTTGGGGGGAACTGGAAAAGTGGGGAAGGAAGGGAGCTGGGGAGGTAGGAAGTGTGTCTGGGCATGTGGCTCTAGCTGAGGCAGCCTCGCGCTACTGGCAGTGGGACTGTAGGCCATGCACAGGAAAAAGAGTTGGAAAAAGTTACAGGAGGATGATGGGGTGGTTGGGCTTGTACCGTTGGCATACTCACGTTGAAAGAGTGAGTTGGGATTTCACTTAAAACTGGCAATGTGGCGTGAGGTGAGGTACTGGACAAAGCCGCGGTCTGTAGCTCAGAGCAGCGGAGAGAAGAGTGGGGCCTGGTGGCGGCGGAATCTGGGGCACGGTTCAGGCTAGCTGAAGGCCTGTTGCGGCCTGGTGCTCGTGGAAAACTGGGCCCTGCGACGTCAGGAGAAGGTGTTTTCTGAGAACGTGAATTTGGATTTTTTAAATTATTTGCCTTTTTTTGCTGATTTTGAAGGTGGAGTGGATTTTGGAGAAGGGAAAGCTGCCTGGAGAAAAACGTACAGGTTGTACAGTTGTGCTTTGTTCAACCTCCAAAAAAAAAAAAAAAAAAAAAAAATGAACATCAGTGCTGATTAGTGCTTGTCTCAAACCCAGCACTGTCCACTTTTCGATTGCAGGAATAGTGGGTTGTGCTGAGGTGTAGAAGGAAGCTGGAGATGGAGGAGGTCTTGATGGTGGAGGTGAGGGCAAGCCATGGCACCTCGGGGTACGAGAAGCGGCTTGGGTAGGCCGGCGGCCGCGCAGTGAAGCTGGAGGTTCAGGTAGCGGTGACCTGTTGAGCATGGGAGCTCGTTGCAGTGTTGGGAAGCTGAGATGAAGCCTGACTGACGAAGGAGTCGTCATCGGAAGGGAAGAGTTCAATCTCTGACATTGTGACAAATGGGCGGGACCAAATGCTGAAACTGTCAAGGAATGTTAGGTGAGTTGACAGAAAATATTTATATATGCTTCATCTTATGCTGATAGACATGTAATTGTTTGGTGACGACTTAATTGGAATGATTTATTTGAACGTGCTCCTCCCGAACCTTGTTTATAAAACATCTTTTCGTTAAATTCAAGGGGTCTTCATGTTTTATTTTGATGTGCAATTTCAGTTTTGTGTAATGTGATCATCATGGATTATTAAGTGTAAAATAGCAAAAATTTCATTCATTCATGCATGATGGCGATTCAAACTTAATTCACTTCAATAAAGATAACTATACATGCTATTCTTGTCATGAGCATCAATGTGTGGTGGTGCATGTTTAGTACATGATGTAAGTTCAAAGATTGGAAAAAAAAATTTAATTGTTGGAGGCCATTGATCTGCGTGCACAGTCCTTAAAATCCATTCTGTGTTAAGGTAAGGCATGTTATTCCTAATTATGTGTTGTGGCTGGGTTGTTATAGGTCTGCGTCACTCTCGATGTCTTAGGCCTAATTGAAAGAAGGAATTGTGGTATTCTTCTGTAATTTAACCCTTGTTCAAGTGAACTCAAAGACAGCCTATGTATAGACTATATGTGGGTGGCTGTTTGCAGTTTGACTTATCAATTTGTGTAGATAAAGTATATAAGGGTAAATCCTGTATAGTGCTTGCCTAGTGCATGTACACTTGTACATGTTATGTATCTTTGGAAGTCCTTGAACTTAATGGGTTTCATAGCACAACGCCACAAATTTCGCGTCCTGTCTGAAAGCGCAAGTGCACGAAATATTTCACTTTTTTTCAAAACATAATCAAACATAAAGCAAAGGCATAGCAAGGCATGAAACAGAAGAACAACAACAGGAAACCCGGAAACTCAAAACAAAGACAAGAAACATTCAATACTAGACCAAGACACAGGGCAAGAGGTCTTAAATACACTAATTAAAAGACAAGGAACACCTGTGAACAATGATCAGATGATTAACAAATGAAAAGTCATATGGCAGAATCACATGACAATCAGGGAATCACATGACAGACAAGAACAAGGAACAAGACACAAAACCCACAACCCAATTAAACTAATTTATTTCTGCCGGATTTAAAGATTGTATTATTCTCTTAGCATCTCAATGAGTTAGATCTTGAGATATCATTTGCTTTGGTACCTGCACACTTCATTTCAATGTCTTTAGTCACGACTGTGATTGTGATTTGTTTAATCTAATCTCTCTCTCTTCCTCCTCCTCCTCTTTCTATCAGCCAGTTAGCTCAAATTCTTCTCTTCATCATCTTACTATTCAGCTCATACTACTGCTGAATATTCACCACAAACCTTTTTGGCAGTTTTCGGCCCCTTTTACACGTATATGGTTATTTTGAAAAACTGAGACATTTCCCTTTGTTTGTGCCCTTCGTTTTTATGCAAACAGAGAATTCACCTCTGTAAACATTTCTTTCTAAAAACTCTGGTCAGGGTAAAGATTTTGAAAAACTTTGTTTGTTTGTATGTTTGCATGTAAACTGCGAAAAACTGAGTTGTAGGCAGCTGCCATCACAGTATGTGACTTTTCGGATATTCTGATTGGCTAACGTGGGCTTGAGCTTCTCGTTACACTCCCATCAACAGGTTTGGCATACTCTTGACAGCATACACAGGTTTGTGTACACTTTGCTGAGAACTGTGTGGACAATGTTATTTTTGAAAAAGTAGAGGGGTGAAATTTATGAAAATAGCCAGCCACGTGTATACGTAGCCTTCTGTGTATGTTGAGATGAAATCTTTAATCTTTCAGGTTTTTCCTGCTTGGGGCACTTCTCTTATTCCAAAAAAAATGATTGTCTTCTTCCAGTACAAATATCTAAACAATATATATAAGTATCTTACAACATGATACATTTACTTGAGAAGCAAAATTACACAAGATATTGTGGTAACACTTACCAATAAGGTTCATTAATTAACTACATTAATTAATTACATTAGTTAACATTAGCTAAGAATGAACAATACTTCTTAGGCATTTGTTAATCTTTGTTATTGTTAATTTCAACATGAGATTTTTGTTTATCTTTCAGTGAGGTAAGAAAAATAATATTGTTTTCAGTTTGAAATCCCATTTATGGATATTTGTTCTTGTTTTAAGCTTAAACTTGCTTAATTTTGATAAATTTTTCAGAAGACAAGATTCAAAGAGGCCAAATAATCCAGCTTTTACTAAGTATTGACTTTGTTTTTGGGGTCTACTAGGTTTTTAAGCTTGAATGTTTCCTCATACATTGGTACTTAAAGGACAACTCTGGTGCAAAATGAACCTTTGGTCTAATTACACATTGTTACCTAGTCAACCGTTATCTGAGATTTGTTTTCATGATTACCGAATGTAAATAGTTTTATCTCTAAAAACAGTTTAGCCTATAACGCTAGTATAATGCTAGTTTATAGGGCATAGAGTAATGACAAATAAAAATCGCTTGTTATTACCACTAACAAGGCTCAAAATAGCCCCACAGTCCCACACGACAGCATGATAAGGGTCCCTACATTTAAACCGGAGCATTGAGAACTTTGTCAGTGTCCAAACAGTTTAATAAGAAGATATTTTATACACACAGTCAACTTCGCGAATGCAGGAAGAAGCCATCTTTGAAAAATAGTCTCTACCAGTCGATCTACGAACACCGATCCAAGTGCGCTGGTGAGATGTGAATAAGGTGATAAGGTGAGTGTGAACAGTAGTCTACGTGTACATATTGAAGAGAAGAAAATGGTTCATGTTTGTGTTTTTTCCGGAAACAACGGACCATATGAGATTCTGCACAGTTCAGCGCACTTGGATCGGCGTTCGTAGATCGATTGGTAGAGACTATTTTTCAAAGATGGCTTCTTCCTGTATTCGCGAAGTTGACTGTATGTATAAAATATCTTCTTATTAAACTGTATGGACACTGACAAAGTTCTCAATGCTTCGGTTTGAATGTAGGGACCCTTATTATGCTATCGTGTTACTGTGGGGCTATTTTGAGCCTTGTTAGTGGTAATAACAAGCGATTTTTATTTGTCATTACTCTATACCCTATATACTAGCGTTATACTAGCGTTATAGGCTAAACTGTTTTTAGAGACAAAACTATTTACATTCGGCAATCATGAAAACAAATCTCAGATAACGGTTGACTAGGTAGCAATGTGTAATTAGACCAAAGGTTCATTTTTTGCCGGAGTTGTCCTTTAACAGAGCATTACTGACAAAAGAAAGAAAGGTGGGAAGAACCACCTTTGGGAAGAAAGGTGCAGTAATGTCAAATATGTGAAAAAAAAAAATCAGTCTCTATAAAGCCCCTCCTTCTGAAAAGCACAATTTGCTCTGACTGGTCAGCTGGACCAGTGTGATGTGATTGGTCAACTATTTCCAGTGTGTTTGGGAAATATCACGCCCCTTCAACACCAGTTTCAACACAGGTATAACGCAACTCAACTAGGCCTCCCCCATTTATTTTCCGTATGCCTTGGATGGGAATTATTTAAATAAGTTGTGACTTTTTCGGCATTCTGAAAAGTTGAGATGTTTTTCTTCATGCGGCGCTGACGCGCTTGGAAAAAAATGAGCACGTCGCTTCCATGAGCGCGCCTACATTTGAATTAACGAACCTGAGCGTGCAAAAGACTCAATATGTGAACAGGCCTAGACATTAATTAACCAACTCCATCCTTTGATGGCTTTGAACATTTCTGAAGGAAGAACATGTACAACGGACACTCAGTGATGCTTTTCCTTAACTCTCTGGTATGAATCACTCATTGCAAAAACTGCTTCCCTGTCTCTGTTTAGAGAGTTTTTCTTTTAGCGTGATTGATAGCAGGATCAGCACACACCACTGACCTCTACAGAAGGATCCCTAGAGACATGGCATGGACTGAGGAAGGACACACACATTTATTTACACACAAACACTGAGACACTCACTGTTACACACTCATGTAGAGAATCGAGGCGAATCAAACACAACTTAATCAAATTAATCTCTCATGGGATTAATTCACATGGATTCAACACTCCAAAAGTTCTGGAGCCCACATTCCAGAGTCACGGAACAGCACCAAGGGTCTGCTTTGGGGGGACAATAAACCCCCCTCCTAAGACTTTTTATGGTCCTGCAGATAGCAACAGAATGCCACAGGAAGAAACATGTCAATATGTTAATGTTTTACCAAGACAAATCGGCTCAGGAATGGTGGAACAAGAGGCCTGACCACCAAAAGCCTGACCACCTTTGACCTCCCTCAACATCATCTCTGTTGAGCGGGACAGAGACGTAACACAGACCCCTACTCCTTGAACATACCACGACCTCACTGTTGAGATCTCTCCAAGATCTCACGCATAAAATCATATAAACTCACCACAGAACAATTCTGGGACGCATAATCAAACCTCACAATTCTTATTGCTTCCTGCAATTCATGTGTTGTGTTTGTTAATGCTTAAATCGCATATTAATCATGTAATTGTTGTTAACTATTAACTCTTGTAATTGTTATACAACCATTAGAAGTGTGAATGCCTCGTTTACTCTTAAACAAACCGTATTCTCGTAATTCAAAAGATGGCTTGATTGAAATCTGCGTAAAAGGTTTTGTTTTATGATTATAATAATCATAAGGTTTAAACTATGGTCTTTTGTCTCTGCTAAGTGCTGGAGACCAGCTCACAGACCATGCATAAATTATGATAAGCAAGAAGTAGATCCACCTCTAAAATCATGCCATTACCCCATTGGCCTGAAGTTTCTAGGAGGTTGGACTAGAGTTTAAGTTAAAGATCCAAACAAAGGAACAAGACCTCATGTTATGTTCAGTCTCATGTTGTTTTCATGTTTATGTTTTGTGTTCAGTTCAGTTCAGTTCGTTCAGTTCTGTAACTGTTAAGTCCGTGCCTCTCTCTAAAACCAGCAAGAGAGTGTTCTGTTCGTGCTTATCTCTGAAACAAAGAACATGTCCGCATGCTTCTACATCGACTAGACCAAATTCGACCAGCAGACGAATAACCCATCAAGATCAGGGTTACAATTCAGCTCAGTCAAGCCATCCGACTCGTCTTACTTTCATTTCTTTCCTTTATTTCCTTTTTGTAAAAGTCTCGTTTCAAAGTTAAGTTTGCTGCAAAGCTTCGTTTTGAACGGCTCTCCGCAACGCGCTTCGAAATCGTAAAGACTTTTATATTCGGCTGCTAGTCACACGTGACCGGCAAACTCAGGAACTTCCATCCCTGCACTTCAAAGACAACAAACCACGCAACGGACCCGGCCGGGAAACCCCCCTTCGACGCGACGCAGACAAAGGGAATTCCCTCAGCCACTACAAAGCGCAAGTACTCCAGGCTCTAACTGAACTGGTGCTTTAATGTTAATTGAATAACCTCTCTAAGAAATGAAGGTTCAAATTAATGCTTGGTGGTCCTTTCAGGTTATGTCTTACGTGCATATAGAAAGTTGAAACTTTCTCTCACTCTTTCCAACTCACTCTTTCCCTTTTGTGACTGTATGAATGTGTGTGTGTGTGTGCGTGATTATGTTTAGACCTT